AGACACTTTCAATGCCAGGTCTTGTATGGTCCACATAATTAATTAATTAGATATTTTTAATATCACAGTAAGCATCTACAGAATCATCATTCCCAAATAACAGCTAAAGCAAAAACAAAACAAAACAAAAAATGGTATATAACACAAAGGAATACTATGCATCCATGAAAAACCAGGCATCTGGAAGCCATTATGCTACGTGAAGTTGGTCAATCACAAAGGACAAATACCGTATGAGTCCACTGCTGTAAGGACGAGCCCCAGGATGGGAGCAGCCTCAGGCTTTCAGGCCATCCAGTCTATTGTCCAGGTCGGCCAGGCAGCTTGGTAGAAAGCCTGGTTGCTGCCCATGACCCATGAACTATCCTTTCTCTGTGTGTACCTTGAAGGTCACTTTGGCAGTGGTATCCTCATGTCAACTGGGACAAGACTTTCAAGAGAGGGGGAAGGGAGGATGACTGCTTAGTGGCTGCCATGCAAAGGTATGTTGACATTTCCCCTGACTGGCAGACAGACCTGCCCGAGTGATGGGGGACATTGATGGAAAAATCAAGTCAAGAGTGAGAAAGGGAACATGTACATCTTGGAGGAGAGAAGTGCTTTCCTCTTGGTAGAAAAAGGGGGAGGACTAACTTCCTAGTTGGGGAAAAAATGACTAACAATACTTTATAAGACCCTAACTGGGGAGCATGTCTGGTCCTACACTCCTAATAAGCCACATAGGTACGAGTTTCTGTACACACCCCGAGGACCAATTCCATGTGCCATAGAACACTGGGGACATTGAACCCTGGATCTTCAAAGTGCACAACACACTCCAAAGGCTATACAAAGAGATGCGATATGGAAATCCCACTAGGTGAAATAGGCTCTACTTCAAACACACCTGTAACCTGAGGACTTAGGACCAAAACCACACTGTGTGTGAAGAAGCAGAAGACCGCTCTACCAAGAGTATTGAACTGTGTTAGGTGGACAAACATTTACTTATTACTTCAATGCCCTACTTGCTGTATTAAGACATGTATTATTCTGGCAGAGCTGTGCCTGACATTGACAGTGAACATTATTCTAAGTTTTGCCTGATCACCAGCTCTCATTGTTTGTACAAAGTGTCCAGTTACATATATATTCTGTACAAGTGAATAATCCATATTTTGTGATATGTTGCAGCCTACTCTTGTTCAATCTCCCCCTCTCAATAGTGTTTTCAAGTGAGTACTATGGAGTTATCAATGGCACTATAAAAAGAAGATCCTTAAGCTCCCAGAGAAGGTCAATAATATCTTTTAACCTAAATTAACAAGAATGTCTCTAAGGCGAACCAGAGGGAGATTTTAAAAAAGTGTAGATTCAGCAATGGATTTTGGGCTCTGTGGAAGTCACCTAATCTGGTGTCAATTTAAGGATTAAGAGTGTAGGGGTGGAGTCTAGGTTGTCAATCTGGAGATAGCCCATGAGACTTCTGTGTGGGCATGACCTTCTCCTGCGAATTCTGGGAAATCTGGTGCTTCCTCCTTGGAGATGAAAGACACCTCTCTCTCTCTGCTACTCCCTGGGAGACATTGCAGAAGACAAGCCAGATGGACACAACCAGACCTCGGAAGCTGGAAAAGCCACAGAGAGATCCCTGCCAGCGCTGAGATGTTTCCAATGACACTGGATCCAAAGACTTTCTACCCACTGGCCTGTGATCTTCCGCATTGGACATCATTGCGTGTGTTTCGTGAGTCTAAGGAGGACTTTATGGATTGATATCGGGAATATGGGCTAGTATCAGACTTATGGACTTGATCTGGACTGGGCTGGGATGGTTTCTCAATGTTCAGTTGCTCTTGTATATAAATCTCTTTCTTATATGCACATGTGTATCCATGGATTTGTTTCTCTAGTCTATCCAGACTAACACAGGCTCCCACTTAATCCTAGCTCCAATCTAAGAATTAGTTCTTATGACATGGTCCTGCTCAATACTCCCCCTTGTAAAGGAAGGACAAAACATATGGGTGCTATAGCAAAGTGTGGTGAAGGAATTAGATGGTGCTTGGCTATCAGAAAAAAACAGAATCTGGGGTCTTAAAGGCTTTTTTTTCCCTTTCCCCAACATTTCTTAAAATTTGCTGACTACAATTCAAAGACATTGAAGCATTACAACAAGTAACAACCAGAAATTCAAGCAGGATTCAAAGAGGATTTAGAACAAAAGATATCATTGCTGCCAGATGAATCTTGGCTGAAAGCAGAAAGTCCCAAAAAATGTTTGCTTACTTTTTATTGACTATGCAAATACATTCACCTGTGTGGATTATAAAACTAAAAACTCTTTATGTAAAGAATGGAATTCCTGAACAATGAATTATGCTCATGCAGAAACTGTCAATAGACTAATAGACAGCTATTGGATAAAGCAAGTAGATGCTGCGTGGTTCAAAAGCAGGAAAGATGTGTGTTGTATCAGCACCCTTATTCATTGTGAATACTGCATACATAACCAGAGAAGCTGGACTATGTGATGAAGAATGCGACATCAGGAACAACCTGTGAAATGCTGATGACACAACCCTGCCTGCTGAAAACAAAGGGACTGGGAGCACCGAATGATGCAGACAAACCACCACAGTCTTCAATCTGGGTTGCCTCCCCCATAAAAACGACAAGAATCTTCACGACTGGATCCAAAGACATCATAATAAATGGAGGAAAATCTGATTTTGTCAAGGATTTCATTTAACAATCAATATTCATGGAAACAGCAGCCAAGATCTCAAACTGTATTGCAGTGGGCAGATCTGCAACAAAAGCCTCTTGACCATGTTTGAAGAGCAAGGCTGTCACTTTGAGGACTAAGGTGGGCCTGACCCGAGCCATGGCGTTCTCCATTGCTTCATACACATGGCCAAGCTGCACAGTGACTAAGGGAGACGGAAAAAGATTTGATACAAGGTAAGTAGGTTGTTGGTTGGAAAAAAAAGGGATATTTAAATTGGCGTGAACTGCCGGAAGAACACCACCATGGTCAACTGTCCTTTGAGAAAGCAGTGCCCCGCAGTCCCATTCAAGTGCTGTCTAACCCCAGGGCCACCCACATGCTCTGTCTAGACCTTCACTAGCTGGCGATGTTCCTAAGTTGTGACTGAGGTTCTCAGGGGCTACCTGCTCCCAGGTGAGGAACAGGGCCCTTCTTCATCAACTGTTCTGAGTCTGGAAGCAACTCTGAAACCGGCTCACGCTGGGTGTCCCTGCTAGCATTTGAAATTTCGGTGATATCGCTTCCGGCATCACAGAACCACACAAGACACCACAGGACAAATTGACAGACAGAACTGTCTTGGTGGGAGGACGGCTGGAATGCTGCTAAGGAGCAAGGATGGTGAGACTTTCTCTCAAGTACTTTGGACATTTTACCATGAGAGACAAAGGAAATCACAGGATGCTTGTTATAAGGTCAGACTGACCCAAAGTGTATCAGAGGGGAGATCACGTGACAACATTTTAGCCATTCAAGTCGAGTTGTCATTTTAATCTCTGACCGCTGTCTCTCCAAGACTCTCTGTCTGATAACCAGGATATTCCCATCCCTCTGTTATGGTTAGAGGGAAATCACTGCACACCAGAACCTCACAATCTAGACTCTGACGCCATCCCCTTCTTTGAATTTGGATTATATAATTTACAATCACAGCTGTTGGTGTGCTTCTTCCATGTGGGTTTAGTTAATGTCTCACTTAGAAGCTTGCTTGTCTACAAACAAGCCTTTAAGACCCCAGACTTTATTTCTGATAGCTGGGCACCATCTGATATTTTCAGCACACTTTGCTGTAGCACCCATATATTCTGTGTTTCTTTCTTGAGGGAGAGTATCAAGCAGGATCATGCCATAAGAACTATTGATTCTCAGCTTGGAGCTAGGATCTGGTTTTACTATTTTCTTTCTTTCATATTGGGGTTTATCTGTTGATTTCTTCATTGTAGGTAGCCTTCTTGAATCTTTGTTATGTGTTTGCTGTGTTTCTCGGTATATGAAACCCAGGGGAGATGAATCTAGAGTGACAACCACTAGAACAAGGGTCTCTGAGGGTTACAAAGTTGGGGGGAGGTGGTAAGTGGGAGTTGATATCAAGGAGTTCAAGAGGAAGAAATGTTTTGAAACTGATTTCGGCAACAATTGTACAATTGATGTGATTGAACTCTGGAATGGTATGCTGTTTGGATTACTCCTAATAAAATGGTTTGGGGGAGAAAAAGGTAGAGGGTCCGCAAAAACGAAGACCCTCATTGAGATGGGTCAACACAGAGGCTGCAGAAATGGGATCAAACCTAACAATTAGGAGGCTGGCACCCGACTGGGTAGTTTCCTTCTGTTGTGTGTGTGCTGACGACTGACTCAACCATACCACGTGCATTCTCTAACAGCACTGCTTTATTTATTTTAGTATTTTTACTGGTTGAATGTATTTACTGGTCGAATTATATTGGTTGAATGTGATTTTTATGTAATTAGTTCTTTTTACTCTATTGGATTCTGCTAAGATTCGTTCAAAGTTCCTCGGTAATGAAAACAGTAAATGCACTTGGAATTAATTGGATGTTTGACTCCACCTACAAGCACCTTGGAAGAAAGATCTGGTGATCTACTTTAAAAAAAATCCCCCATGGAAAACTTTATGGAGCACATGAATAATGGATGTGAAGGCATCTGGGTAATTCAGTCACATTATGGTGCACCCTCTAGTTCATTTATCTTAACGACCGCGTAATGTTTCAGTGGTTGTGTGATATCCAACGTGTCGTGGTTTCTTCGTTCACTGTCCTGTGGATGGGCTCTTGAGTGGGTCCCAGGTTTCGGCTACTGTGAACAGTATGTACCTGTGTCTGGGGATGCAGGTGCAAGGGCCTCTCTGATGGCCCGGAGAGGCCCCTCTGTTGGGCAGACGATCTGTTCCTCGCCTCTGCCTCTCTCTCACCCAACCCAACCCAGCCCACTCTGTCCAGCGACTCACCCGACTGACAACACCACAGATTCGGTCTCCCTGGCCAGAAAACAGCACAGGCTATGGTAAGAGGCTGCAAGACAAAACCATGCAAAGAGAGCGAGGAGTCAGCGGGGAAGACACGGAGTCAGTAAAGCTGGCTGCTCTCCAGGGGTCTGCACCTCTGCCACAGCCTGGGGGAGAGCCAGCTCAGCACTACGTTGGTGCATGGCAACGTCTCAGAGCCACGACACGCCAGACACCTCTCCTTCATCCCCCGAATCCTGGATCTGATATGTCTTGGTCACATTCTGCAAGTTTTTGTGGTTTTTTTGCAGTGAGGGAAACTGAGTACTGAGAAGTTTTGGTGATTTTAACCAACAAAGTCTAGATGAGAGAAATTAAGCCTACCTCTTTTGAGAATAAGTATACATATTGACCCCATAACAGTGTGTGTGTGTGTGTGTGTGTG